ATTACAAGAATCACTGCAGATAGTAAAACTGATTCCCAGTTTTAATGGTAAATAGTGTTAGAGGAAGATTTCCCACTTCCCTAAAGTTTTAAAAAACTAGCGGCGTTCAAACTATGACTAACCATACTGTCAGAATATGGCTACTTTCCTCTTCTTTACATTTAATTTCACACTACTTATCAGCCCAGTTTTAGTTTGCAATGTTCATTTAGAGGGTCAAAAAATTTGTATAATAAAGATTAAAATTATCCACATGACTTTCTTACTCAGTATTAAATAGTCCAAACAAAGCATGAATCAGTTGCATACAGGAAATAATAATTTGTTCTGTCCTTAAACTTTTTAACATGCTATCAGTATTTGCTCATAATCTTTTCAAGGAATGAATACATTTGACACACAGCTAGGCTTTTCTCAACTAGTTCACAGGAACATAATGATTTACAGCTTGTAATTGGAGTTGACTTAACCAACACACATAATTTTTAAACTGGCATTGTGATTATTGGATATTAATGTGAATAACTGTTTCTCTGTAATTAGCATTAGCATGTGTTTATTATTTTCAAAGAATTACCCATGTTGTCATTGCCCATCATAAGCAGCGTCTTCCATTAATTTCAATATATAATAGAAGCACGGTTAGTTTACTATTTTTACAGTTTGTTTCACTTCCCCTTTAATAGGATCTGTGGCAAAAGCCAGCTTTTTTTGTCCAAAGTTTCCAAAACAGTTTAAAGTGAAGTCCAGATGTGTAAGTTAGAAAGCTGTTTCTTTCCTGTGTTTGATGGTCGGGAGACTCAGATGGCAGATAAAGGCACGCTTTGGGAAAGCAGGCACAGGGTCTTTTTCTCAGGTTCTGAAGTTAACTTCAGGCTGAATTTTCTCTTCTGGTTCTTGAAGGCTGTTAAGCTGAACCTTTAACTCTCATTTATTCTCAGTGACCACTGGTAATTTATTTTCTCTTTGAAAAGGAAGACACATTCTATAAAATCTGAAATTGAAATTATCCAACTTATCTGTGTGGCTACCTTGCAACTCCCTTTTTAAGTAATTCCACCCCTGGCATCTTTCTTTGTTGTCTTTTATGCCTTTGGTTAGGACAATTATTCAGTATTTCCAAACATATATCTTTTGTTGAACTTTGCTTGATTCTGTAGAAGAAAACATCTTCTCATTACAGCATGGCAAAAAATCTTTTATAATCACTGATTCCTTATCTTCCTTTTATTTCTGTAGTTACTGAGACGGTCATAGGAAGCCATCTCAAATAAGCTAAAATCTAGCCTCAGTTCATTTGGTATGACCCCTGAAAGTTACAGTAGATTAATGGAAACTTTGATTCATACATGGGAGAATTTAAGTGAGGAAGGAGGGAATAATTGAGTTGTCATTTTGATATTGTTAATCAAAAACATGCTGCTTTGGCTCCTAGTAAGATCCTAATTTTCACCTGTTTTGCCAGTGTTGCTAGGTGGGCCGCAAAGCCTATTGCCCACAGTTGGATGTAGGTATCAGCTGCATGGGGAGGTGGGGGCCAGGGAAGCACTGGTCCTGGTAACCTCACAGACAGCACTGTTAAAGATCAGTAGGAGCAGAGCACGTTTAGATTGTCCGTAAAAGCATTTAATACCACAGCACTGTTAATGATGTTTACCCAATATGATAGAAGACAGTTCTCCACCCACTCCCTTTATTAGTTGCAGATGTCTCTTTCTCCCTTACAAGATGAGGCTGCTAGTTTTAAAATGCAGTTTTCAGTTGTTCTGAGAGAAATAATCTTTTTCTTTTTCTCTATATGTTTATTTCTTCCTTTCATGTTGTATCATATTAACTCTGCATACCATTTTCTTTGCACCTTAAAACAGTTAGAACTGTTTTTTCTACTTCACAAAATATCCCCACCAGTTTTCTCTTGTTATTATGTCATAGTAGCAGTCTATTATATCTTAGTAGCACAGTTTGCAAGCAGGGTAATACAATTAGCTCCAATTTTAAGTAGCATTTCAGGTTTTCCAATGGCATTTTTCATGTTTGTTTTCAATTTATCACACTTAATTAAAAGAAAACAAACAAACAAATAAAAATCTTACCCAATACAGCTGGAGTAATAATTCTTTTTTGTTACTTTTCCTTGTCCTTTTTACAGTTTACTTTGTCTTGTGGAATGCTGGGCTATGAGTATTTTAACACTTGTTGGTTTAATGACATGTTTGTTCTTTATTAAAATGTTAATTTAATTACTGAAATGTTAGCTCTTAAACTCTGTTGCCATTTCACTTTGATGCATAACACGTTGAGTATATATTCAGACCATTCGTATACTGTTATAACCCACTTAGTTTTGCTGTCTTGGAAGTCAATTTTTCTAACTTCTGGGGTATACCTCATGACTATCACCTCACAAGCTTCTGATCAACAACTCTATGGAGGGATTTTACAGCTGTGTCCAGCTTCCTAGGAGGAAACTGTACTGGAGATAGAGCCAGATTTTTCTTAGAAACGCACAGCAAAGGTTGGGGACTATTGAGCACAAGTTGCCACAAAGGACATTCCAGTTAGATATTGGGAAAAAATAATCCACCGTGTGGCTGGTTAAGCATTGAAACTCATTGTCCAGAGAGTCTGTGAAATCTCCGTGCATTCAGAACTCAAGTGGAAATGCCACTGAGAAGTTTGATCTAGCTTTGAAGTTATACCGATCTTTGAGGTTGGCCCTGTTCTGAGCAAGAGCTTGGCCCAGGTGGAAGTCCTTTCCAACCAAAATTATCCCACGGTACTAAGATAAATCTGTAGTGGATCACCTACAGACACTCTTGAGGACATCTCCACAAAGCGTGGATGTGTAAGATGCAAGGTCAGTGCTCATCATTGAATTATACGGATTTACACTGTGGCTTAAAGTCTTCCCTGGGGACTCCTTTTCTCCTGCAAGTGTAAAAATTATTCCACATCTCTGTCTCTGGTCTGTGCCTGCAAAAGCATAGAAACACTGGAAATCATAGGATTTGAAGCCATTTTTAGCTAATACTGTGCTTCCATAGACTGGCTCTCTGCTGTGAAGTGTTGCATTTTTAAAATTAATTTATGCTTCCGATTTGGAAATGCCATGGGAGACAAGCTCAGTCAAATACAGAGGGAACAGTGCAGGTGGCAGAACCACCCCACAGTTGTTTGCAAATAGTGGCAGTGATGCTGCCACTCACCCGGGAGTTTTGGCATTCATGCTTCAAGGGGTTGTATGTGTGTTTGAGTGCATTGCTGAGGAGCAGACATCCCAGGAGGGTTACGGTGCGTGCTTTGGGTACTGCAAGGTCAGTGTCTATGAGCTTCTTCAACCTATAGGTACCTCTGAAGTGGAAGGAGTTGTGTACTGGAACTGCCTCCCCATGCGTAAGGTTATTCCTGTGTAGGAGATGCACTCCCACAGTATTTCAGCCACCCACTTCGCTTCTCCGAGAAAATTTTTTAACACTAAATTTTCCATTCCGTTGATATGCAATTCACTGTGTAAGATACAGGGTAAATATGGTTGCTAAGAGCCTTATTTTTGTTATGTTCTATGCTAATTTGAATTGAATGAAGACTGGAGAACTGAGGAGGCTGGTCTTAAAACTCCATTTGCTAAAATTATCCTTGCAGGCTTGGACATAGTTATACTTAGACCAAGTAAATATAAAGAAAAAACATGGAAGTGGTTTTATGATGCAACAGTACTTCCAAGTTTATGAGAGATTTGGTTTGAATATCACTACATTTTAAAAAAAATAATACACTTTAATTAGGCCCAATGAAATATTATATGTGCCCAATAAAAATAATATACAGTATAGATAGCATATTATTATATAACATTTTTTATGTATGCTCTTTCATGTCATAAATCTTCTTTTTCTGAATGTAAAATCAGCTTAGTGCTGACTCAGTTTCAATCCACTTTTTAGTTAAATGATGGTTTCACACAATTTTTTCACAGTTCATACACATAAAAAAGACTATTTCATGCAAGTTATGTTAAAATAATGATTTATCTTTAATTATAGAAATATTTACCTTACATGATACAAAACTGTAGATTATTTCAACTCAGAGATAGAGCACAAAAAGAAGGAAAATACACGTACCTCTCTAAGCATCCGTTTAGTCACAGCTCTACAGAGTTACTGATAAAGTTTCCGTGTCACTCCAGTGGTGTGATTACTCTGTATGGTTGAGTAGTGTCAGAAGTGTTCCTCTTGTCAAAGAGTTTAGGAAAAATCTGATATTCGAGGAGTTTATCTGTATAAATGTATTGCTACAGAGGTATGAGTTGGTGCATTACAAAATCCCCTTTGGGCATATCCATGTTTATAATGTAAAAGAATTTTCTCAAAACTAAAAGTAAAAGCACACTTGGGAAAGTATTTGGATTTTTCTAATGCCATAGGCACCACCTTTCTTCTGGTATAATGATTTATTTTCTGTAAACATGGAAACAGTGGAGTTCCACATTAGCTCACACTAATAAGAAATATGAATTCTGCAGCAAAAATGTCCTGGAGGCCTACATAAAAATTAAAGACATTTAAATGAAGCAAAATCAGTATGTAGTGGATATTAAAAACATATAATCAACCTTTTAAGCACAGAAAAATTAAAGTAAGACAACTTGCAAAGTTGCATTTATTATTTAAACAAAATTAGAGATTTTGGCATAGTTGTAATTTCACAAATTAATATAAAATTGTTTTGATAGTAGTTTCTGAGTGCTCTTGGACTTACTGGAATCTATATGCCTTTTCTCAATAGATCTTATGAATTTAACAAGCTGTAGAAACATACAACTGGTTATTGTTCTGTGTATTCTAAAACCCCATCATTTTGAAAAAAGACAAGAGATGCAGTGACTGTCCCTTGCCTCTACACTGGGTATTGTGTTGGTTCCAGTGTTCAAATAGAAAATGCGGTCAATAAAATTTGATGTGAACAATGCACTGATATTTTTATTTTCTTTTTCGCAGATTAAGATGCTTGGTAAAGCAGCTGGAGAAGGGTGACATTAATGTGGTGGATTTAAAAAAGAATATTGAATATGCAGCATCTGTGCTGGAGGCAGTTTATATTGATGAAACCAGGTAAGTCTGAGGGGAAAAAACCAAAAGGGAAAGTGTGTTGGGAATCACATTTTAGAAATTTTGTCTTTGCATGCAGTTGTAACTGATGTGTGCTGAAGGTCTGCACATCAGAAGAATTGTATGTGGTTCTTAGGTCTTTTAGTGACAAGGTTAAAGCAAGTAAGATTCCAAAGGTCAGATGTAAGCATCGCCTGGAGAGCTTGCCTAGTTCTCATCTCCCTTACTTGTCAAATGTCCACAGTATAAAATCGTAAGAATTTTCTGAAGGATGGTTTTTCTTTCCCCCACAGGCCACATACCAATAGTCATGCTGAGGACTGTATCGTTGAAAAAAATGAGCTGTTTTGGAATGAAATGCTCATGGAGATGAGTCAGAATATTATAATCTGGCCTGTAAATACATAAATTTATGAAAAGCTGTGATTTATTTTATAATGTTGGATGCTTTGTTTATGATTATTGTTACTGGCAGTATCACTGGCACTCATCTTTAATGTGGGTTGACTCCAATTAAATTAGAATTTCTAAGTATTTGGCTTGAAAGAATTTTAAGATACGTGCTATACTGAAGTTGCCTAGCTAACTTACAGTTTTTATTTCAGTGTTATGGCCTCTTTTAAATTTTTTCTAAGCAGAATGCCATTGTAAATATGTTGTCCAAAACTTCTTCAACACAGCTGAAGCACGCAGCATATGTCCTGGTTCCATACTACATTTAAGAAGTTTGCCGTTGTACTGATTATTACATTGACCTAACTCTCTGTGTCTCACCCCCTGCTCCCCTTTGCAAATCTTCGTATTTGATGCAGTGCTTACAATTACTGCTCTTAACTTTTTCCTGTTGCTTTTCCTCTGATGCGTGTGATTCACACAACAAACCTTGCCAGTCAGGAACTTGGAGCATCTACTGTTGGGCAACTACTATGGGCAATCTACTATGGGAAAGCCTACCGTTTGAAAACAAAAGAATGAAAACAATAGCAAATGAAGCTGGTACCAGTGGTCTGTTTTTCAGAGATTATGTTACAGACTGGGTTGGCAGGATCACTTATATTGGTGTCCTGCTCTTAGAGTGCATGCATGTCCTTTTCTGTAAAAAGATTACCTGAGCTGCCTCTCAGCCACATTACAATTCTTAGGGACACTTTCAAAAGTGTTGCTGGTGACCTCAAGTTAAATACACAATCTGAAACGCATTAGGGATCTCAGTGACTTCAAAAGTCCTCGTGTGTCATGAGGATGTTGACATATTCAGATAAATTAAGCTTAACTGAGCAGATTTGGGAAAACCACCATCTTTTGTGACTTGCAAGGAACCTGGGCTTTGTGAGAAAATGGGATGAATTTAATTTAAACATTTTAACATAGTGGTAGATAATGTGGATATACTTATATCAGTTTTGCTGACTGACAAGTTCTTTTACATTGAATCAAGAGTTGATTTATGGATTTACATTAGTTTATGGTCATATTTGTAGTCAAATTGACACAGGTCCTTAGGGAGACAGATAAAAGAAATTTTCAACAAACCTCTTTGGGCTCCATAAAATGTAATTTTTCAGCAGTTGTTAAATGTAAATTTTGTTGGCACACCTCGTGCTCAGGCAGCTTTGGAAGATTGTGGTCCTCTCTCCCCTGTGCTACAGGATATTGTATTGTCACACGTGATCTTTCTAAAACTATACAGGGAAAAGGTAGAGAAATAACAGGTTTTATTTATGGAGTTCTAAGAGTAGACTCCTTAAAACCAGGGATAGGCTGCAGGGATAATCTTCCAAAATTACAAAAAAATGATTTGGGGCAATGACTCAATATCCTATATAAAAGGTCCTGAGCTGATGGAAAGGTGGAAAGCACAGAGAAGTCAGACATACGTTAGTATTGCTTTTCTATGAGCTTAATTATCCATGGCCCCATGTCAATTAATAAGCTTGTTTAACAAGCCCCCTCTTTAGGACTGCTGCAGCTCTCAATGCTCAATAATTACAAACTGCACTAAACACTTCCTTGAGAGAGATCCAGTGCTTGGTAGCTGGAGCAGAGGTTTATTGTCAGCTGAAAACAGTCAGTGAAACTCTCACAGTTCCAACCCCTCAGCAGATCTCCTCTGTGGAAGAGGTTCAAACTTACTTAATAGGTGTTATAAATAATTCTGACAAATCTTGCAGAACTTTCTCCATTAGTACCTGCCACTTGGCTCAAGGTAGTGGAAGAAGGATATTTAGAGTCAAACAGGAAATAAATACAGCCTGATAATTCAGTCATGACAGCTGTTCCATTCCTTGTAAACACAGCTCTTTATTCATGGTAACTGAGATGAAAATAAGTCAAATAAAATCTACATGGAAATTACAAGATTTAAAAAATGTATTCCAAAGCCAAATAAAATAAAAAATAAACTTCTTGTGGAGAAAATTTTTAAATTGTTCTGGATAAAATCAGAATACTTTATTCCAATTATGGTCTTACTACATTTTAAAATGACTTAGTATTTTATAAAATACACTTAATTTCAGGGGGATATTTATCTGTGTAGTTTCAATTCTTACATGATTTTTAGGGTTTTTTTAAGCTGTATAATGCCCTTATAAGAGGATTTAACCTCTTGAGAACTTCTGACTAGAAGAGGCCATGTTCCAGTATGAAGTAGATCTGTTCTATATAGCTGGCAATCGCTTTGAGCATCTTTGATTCAATGATACAAAATAACTGATACAGGTTATTGCTACATTCATGAAGAGAAAGGAAATCTCATTACAGGTAAGTGGTGTTATATCAATACATGTTTGCACAAGATCTCTGAAAACAGTGAAAATATAATGGTAAACACAGTCCTTTTTGAGAAAAAGCTCTTATTTTTAAAAAAGTAGACATTCTGATACGTATAATGTTAGCTGAAAAGGAGGTTGTTAAACCCAAACTTTGTGACTGCAGTTATAATAAACACCTTGGGCCACACTGGGTTTCCGGTGCACTACTCCAGTAATGCACCAAATGTTTCTGTGGATTCTGGCCACTAAAGCAGGGACAAAAATATCTCCAAATCGTAGACAAAAGGAAATGTGATCATGTCATTTGCAAGAGAAAGTTCTGCCATTTCATCTCACCAAATGTCCATATGATCCTTAAAGTGCACCACAGAAGTATTTTGTGCATGGAACATGAATGCGTGTGTCCTGTGGAGTCTATGGAAGAAGAAAGGAGTAAGTGCTTGACTAGATGCTGGTGCTCACAGAGCCGTGTGTCATGGAAGTGTGAATGGAGCCTAGCAACAGCCCAGCCACTAAATGCAATTCTCTGGTTTCCTGGAGATCCTGAAGTGAGGAACAGTCAGTCTGTTGTAGGGCAGCTTTCAGTACACAGTTTTGGTTATGTTTGAAAGCTGGAGAAGGCTATTCCCTGTTGTTCTCAAGATTTTTACTACTGTAACAGAACCCAAGTCCATGGCAGCTCCTCCATCTTAGGCTAGTAATTAATATCTCAAAAAAAAAAGAAAAAGAAAAGAAAGAAAATAACTGGGATACTTATTTGCTATCCCCGTGCTTTCTTTCACTCTCTTCTAGACACCAGTTAGCAGCTAAATGAGAATAAAAGTCAGTGAAGGCTCCATCTTTTATCTTTCTTGTATTCTTTCATTTCCACAAGCCATATTTTAGTATTGGCGTTGCAAGGCTCTAAGCTATCTGAGTACCTCACAGCAGGAGTCTGCTGCTTGACATCACAGGACCTTTTGCATTCCGTTCCCACTCCAAGCATACATCTGGCTGACACGTACTTTCATTGACTGTAAAACTCTGGTTATGCAAGAAACTGTGCTAATTCAGATAACCATCAGGATAACCAGCATAGATGGTCACACTGGCAAATCTCTTTGCACGTGCAAGGGTTGAGAAAGTTAAAACTCTTATATCAAAGAAATGTAGATTTTAAAAAAATTTTTAAAGAGCATATATTCCTAATCTCTCTACCTGAAAAGGCACATAAATATGTTAATTTATACATGAAGGTAACCATTTCATTTACAGAACATTTACAGTGGGGCATTCCATCAATGATGTAACTTATTTTGAAGAACCTAGACAATATTTCTCCTCAAAATTAGCTTTTTGGAAAAAAATCTGGGAATATTAAAAATGGGATGCCCTATTTGGTAATTATGGTCAGTATGATTCCTCTCTGAGCTGTTTTAGTTGAGGAGAGATTGGAAGAGGCAATTACTTAAGCATGAAGTTAAATCATAATCTTGAATATTCAGTCAGGTTTGCTGTGAGGGTGTATTGTTGTCGTCCCTAGCCAACCAATGGCTAAATGTACTTTGCCTGGAGTTTCTTTGTCAGCAACATATGTACCATTTGAAGAAAATAATTCAGTTCATCCATTAAGGGAATCTACAAATGATACTTCTGTAAAAGCCACTACTGAGAAAAAGCTTATTGTGTTGAGATTAATTCAGTACATTCCACCCTTATGAAAGCTTAGAATAAACCTTTAAAATCTTTTCTACTAAACCAAAGTTGGTTTGGTTTTTTTTTTTTTTTTGGTGAGAGGGAAGCTTACAACAGCATCAAAGTTATATAAAAAATACACTTATAATCACTGAAAATCTGTTAAATTCTGACTAAAACTCTTCAGTTCACTTAGGATATTTAATAAATGTCCTGCATTCCCTTTTCTGAAGTTATTGAATTTTTCTATCTCAAAGTTATTGCTGTTAATTCGAGTTATGCACTGAGATAGTCCTTGCCATGTAGACCTTCCAGAATACCACATTAAAGCAATTGAATTTAAAAAAGGAAAATACACAGCTCACAGCTGTTCTCCTGAAAAATGGTATTTTTTAATCATGAATATCCTGCCCTGAATCTTAAGACTGTTGTTGGCCTTTGGTGTGTATGTCTATGTTTCTGAAGAGGCCGTACATATCAACAAGTGAATGTTTCCAGTATGGTCCTGACTCCATTACTTATCTGCCTCTGTAATAACTGTATTTCATCCAGAGTCTTTGCCATTTATTGTGACTAATGGGCAGTTCTTAATATGAGGACAGTTCTTTTGAGAATGTGCTAAATTTTAAGAGTACAACATGTTGGTAAATTCATCATTTCCTTTATAAAGACCTAAAAGGCACCTCAATAATTTTTGCTTTTTGTCCTCACTGGGAGTCAAGAGAATCTTTTAGTGGGTGTTAGTGGAAATTGTGGTGGACTTCAGAGGATTTAAATATTGATGGAGTATATTGATTCATGCTCATTCAGGAAGACAGTGAGACTAGAACACAGATAGTTGAAAAAAATGTGATTTATCTATTTGGACTATAAATTCTTTACCTTCTGCATTCTAGACTTAGCAGAGGACTTGGATCAATTCACTCTTAAGTGGTTGATCATTAGCTTGATTTATTCACTAAACAGTAAAGAGCTAATACTTCCGCAATCTTTCCTCTGGAAATCTTTCACCGTCTCTGTTAGGCAGCATGACTGATCAGCGCTGATGGGTTTTTTTTTTTTTCCCCCCCCTCCCCATAGACAGTATCTAATTTTTTTAAAATTTTATTTTCTTTCTTCTTCTCCATAGTATATCTGATGCATTCCTAAGGGAAAAGAAATGTACTTCTGACTAGTCCATTACTCTATTTAAAATTCTGATTAAATGAAAAGAGAGCTAGAAATTATCACTACTTGAATTCTGAAAAATTATTCTTGGCAAAAAACACAATACTGTGTCAAGAAGATCAGGTTATTAGTTACTATGACTGCAATATTAATTGATTGCTAAGCTGAAATGCCATGGGCCATATCTTACTTGTTCCCACAACTGTCAATGGGAGTTCCACTCATGGAACAAATAGAATTAAATAACTCAAGCCTCCCCCTCTCCTTCCCACGCATCTCTCTTCCTCATATTGCATCTACTTAATAGGCTAATGATGTATGAGCAAAATAAGTGTATGTAACACTGAAATTCTGACTTTGTGTTGAAAAAAGTAATTTCACTGCTATACTCTGTTAGAATTTTTTTTTCATTAGCATTTTTCAGTGTTGCTTGGCTTTAGGGAAGAAAAAATTAAAGTGTGGGCCTTGGTATATTAACATTGATTTAATTCAACTAGGATATTGGAGTTCATGCCTACCAGTTGAGTGGGATTGATCTCAGTAGAGTTTTACTTTAAGGCTGACTTTGTGGAACAACTATGTAGCTTTAAAATAGAAAGTAAAGGCACATCATCTCTGATCTTCAGTGTGGTTGATTTGGAGTATGAGGGTATGGATCTTGCAGTCACTCCACTCCAAATATTTTCTAAGCCAGAGGTTCTAGCCTTGTCTTAGGCAGCTATGGTCACTTGTTATTTTGCTCATTAATGTATCTAATGGCAATTTTGAACCTATATAGAAGTTCACATATTGCAAAATGTTGTGAAATTGTATTACAATTTACAAATTTAATTTTATAATTTGTAATTACAAATTGTATTGTAAAATCTTGCAAAAATACCTGTAATGTTTGGTAGCAAGTTCAGTGGTCAAACTATCTTTGTCTTTGTTTTGAAAAAGTCTTCTGATACTATTTCACCTTTCCTCCCTCTTTTTTAAAAATTTAAAATATAGGTGAATAATCACCTATAATAACAATTTACCTGTTCACCTGTGATTCATGAAGTGGCAACTTAGATCAAGATGTCTACACAGCAGTAGAATTACAGAACACAGAAATTATAAATTTATTTTCCATTTATCGGGGCAATATTAACTTTAATTAGGCAAAAACCAAACACCATTAGTTTCCCAAATAAAAACGTTCTGAATATACATTTTGGATTGTTATGTTTTTTCCCATGAAGTGTAAGCAATGTTGTATTGTAGAATTTATTCAATTAAATGATGATATTATGATGCTCAATGATTTCATCAGAGTGACGTCACAATACATCTCAAACAGTCAACCTGTGGTGCAGTTAAGTTGTGAGCAACAGCAGTAGTAACAGCAAGAAGGAGAGGCACACAGGGGCTCTGTGATTTACTTGATGCTTTCACTGCAGTGATGTACATCAGTAGACTGGGGGCCAGCAAACAAGCTGCAAAATGGTTCGACATAAGAACAAGATCCATGTAAAAAAATATAATGGTGGCAAATCAAAAACTGGTATTCATTGGGTGAGAAAGAAAATTTCAGCTATTATTATAATGTAAGTGCTGAAGTACTGGTTAATGTGTAAAAGTTCTGATACTTCACTATTCTTTTAATTTATATTAAAAGTAAAATTTATATATATATGTTCATTTTGTAAATAGTAAATAATATTACTGATGAAAACAGTTTGATATTTTTATGTCTTGACTTATAAATTTGCTTTATTTGAGTTATTTTAAAGAGGCATTTTCATAGTCAGTGAGTAAAAGGTGAATAATTAGCTGTATTTCACAGAATCCACAATATTGTGTATGTATACGTATATATGCACAACCGTGGAAATAAAATGGAAATAGTATATTTTATTATCAAGGTAGAAATAGATGAATAGAAGTTGATAAAAGTTACAGGCTATGAAATGAGTGGAATATTGGAGTCTAAGAATTTGTGAAAATTAAGCATAGTTTGTGTCATGCAATATATGGCCTTGTTTCCCATCCTAAATAAAATTACTATCAAATTATGCATCCATTAAACATCCATTTATTCAGGCGTGTAGACCCGTGTATGAGCTCTGTCCCTGTTAATCACAGAAGAATGGCAGTCATTAGCGAATTTATTCAAAGGCCATTTCTATCAATGCATATGTTATGAGTAATTTTCTTCAATATGAATCTTATTCTTCAAAAGGTCAGGAAAGTGTATAAAATAGACAGTTACGAGATGAATGACTAGCTCTTGTTTCCTCTCCTTAAATGTCGTTTCAGTTAGACTTCTGGAAGAAACTGATGCTTTTTGAGAAGTTACTAAAGTTATGTGTTGAGGGGTCTGTACGAGCTTGTACTCGCTAAGGATTGTGCTTACAATGTAATGCTAGCTAATGCCCATGGTCCTTTTGCTGCTGGAATAATTTCATCTCATTTGAGTAACAGTTGGACTGGTTTCAAAAATATGTTTTAGGGATTATGAGGTTTATTCCTGATTATACTACAAATACATCAAATGTCAAATATTCCTCAGAAATATTAATGCACCAATCTCTCCAGGGATATTTAATAACAGTTTCAGACTAGTAGAGATTTAAGTGGACTATAACATAGTCTTTAATTTAGGGAATAAAATCAATTTTACAGCCTTTGACCTATGGCCCATCTCAGCCTTGGTTCAGTTTTGCAAGATAATTTGCCTAAATCCTTTTCTCTACACAAGTCCTGCTCCTCCAAAATAAATTACTGACTTTTGGCCTGTGTCCCACTGTCAGAAAATCTCATCATTCTTGCCCATTCTGCTCCTCTTGCACTCTGTGTTGAAGAGCCTTCCTACTCTGATAATTCTATGGCCCTAAAAAATAGGAATGTTTCTGCTTTTCTTTCAGTAAAGGGTGGTGCTACTGGGGACATGTGACGGATATTTTTTTAAACCCCAGTAGAAAAGTCTCACACAATATGCTGCCAGCCAGATGAGCTGCTGAAACTGTGAACAGCATAGATGAGCACAAATATACTATGCTCACTGTTCACCAATAATTTATATAACACTTCTGGCATCAGGCTTCCTACTGGCATCTTCCTCTAATCCCTCAGATAGTATTCGATTTACGTGGGGATTCCTTTGGACTGTCCTGTATTCAGGCTTTTTTCACTGTCTATGTTCCATTCCTCTATATGGCTGAGAAGACCTGGATTAGGCAAGGTTTTGACAAAGCGAAACAGAAAGTGAAAGGTGTGAAAGAGCTGCTGAATAAATATGATGAGAGAGTGTGCAAACAGGGCAGAGAGTCAACAGAGTTATCATAAGAGTAGAAAGAAAAGACAGCGACAGAGGTGACAACATGAAAATGGAAAAGGAAGTGATAATTCTCCTCTCCCAAATACCCATCTGCAAATGCTGTTAGCCAAATTCCCACCAAATACATTTCCCAGGAATCCTGTTCAGTCAGGAGGGGAGACCAAGGTTTTAATTAATCAAACGGACCGCCTGATAAGAAAATCACACTCTGTAATGGAGTTCATGTCAGCCACTGTTTTACGTGTCTCCTCAGGGTTTTCTAACTCACTGATTACACTTCAGTCCACCAAACCTGTGGCATCCTTGTAGAAAAATCTTCAGTTGCCTTCACGTGGATATCTTGCCTTTGAGTATCTGTTACATTCTAGAGCAGTGGGAGAGAGGGAAGGTATCTGCTGTACTCAGCATCCCAGTGGTCTTGGTATGTCTACTAGAGGAGACATGTAGTGATGTGCTGAGTCAATTCAACCTATGCTGCTGTTAAATTTTGTTAGCTGTTCACCTGTCCATGCTCCTTTTTACTTCAGTCTGCCATCTTCTTGGTTACCTTGTGTTAATTTTTTTTTGTAGAAAGCTTTTGGACACTGAAGATGAGCTTTCTGACATACAGTCGGATTCGGTCCCGCTGGAAGTGCGGGACTGGTTAGCTTCTACATTTACAAGGGAAATGGGAATAGTGAAGAGAAGACCTGAAGAAAAGCCCAAATTCCGAAGCATTGTGCATGCTGTACAAGCTGGGATTTTTGTGGAAAGGTGAGAGCTCTGTTTTCTCATTACAGAAAGTACCGCATTTAACCACACTGCCTGCTGTTGACGATCCCGTAAGTGGTGCGATGCAACTGAAGCAATCTTTGAGGCAGATTTTAGGTTTCAATTTCTGCAATTGCTCTATTTTTCTATACTGAAATCCAGATGAAACCTCTGAATTTGTAATGAAATCTCCTGGACTTTGGAAGATGCTGGGAAAGAGCTTTATGGCTTTGAAACTTCTACGCTAAAATATACCAATGAGTGCACTGACATGAAAGAGCAATGTACAGGCAGAGGGGCTTTTCTCATAAATTCATAAAAGATTTATGTCATATTTGGGATCAGACTCTTAAATAGCTTAGTGTTATTTCACAAACTGTGTAAGATGAATTAAAGAGGAATTGCTCCAGTACTTTTTGCAGGAGTGCTATTCCTTAGTATCTTTTTTTTTTCAGGATGTATCGAAGAACTTCGAGCATGGTTGGTTTGGCTTACCCAGCAGAAGTGATCGTAACATTTAAGGTGAAATAAATTTAATCGTTGTGGAATTTGAATGTATTTGTACTCATGTTTAGTGACTTTTAGGGTGAAACAAATATATTCTTCTACTGAATGTGCCCTAGCCTTAGTACTACAGACCTAAGCACACAGAACAGTGTGGGGGATTTTTTGTTAAAAATTCACAAAAAGCATATGATTTTGTTTATTGTTTCACTGATTACCTGTGATTTCATTTAGATGTTATTAGAGCAAAAGGATGAAATTCGTATGGAAGTTTTTATAGAAATGTGAGACATGGTTTTATCAGCTCCCAGTGGTATGGTAATTAGTGTCACAGAGAGCAACATTTGTTTCCTTTTTAGGAAAGAAAAAGGAGAAGTAGTATGGGGATAGATCTAACAAAAGAAGCTGCAGCTTATGAATTAAGTGCAGTATTTGATTTGAAGGTATTACTCTAGTTCACCTGAAAGGCTATCTTTTATAGTAGTCAAGTTCCTATGGCTATGTATGCAATTAAAAAATGGTGTTTCTTGAGAATGTGGTACCTCACCTTTTCCCCTGAAAGTCAAACACTGTTCTTGAATTGCTATATGGCTATAGTGTTAATGACATTGCATACCAGCCTATTTAAATGATGGGTATTGACATTAGCTCCATGAGGTTCCATGGACAATTTGTATGCAGAAAATTAAGTTTGAAAGATTGAGACCTTTGATTTGAAGCATACAAAGTTGCATAGGTCATGTTACAAGTGTTTTATTCATAACTGGCACAACTGTTTTTATTGTTAATATTGAAAATAGTTATTAATGTAATACCTGCAGCTTTTTGCAGGAATTTGAAAGACTTGGACAATAAAAAAAGACCAAACTCTCCCCCTTCCCTCCAAAAAACCCCAAGTGATTAACTGGAAACCTACTTAAACAGATGGAAATGTTATGTTGTTTTGTTTTTTTTTCCCCTCCCCTCACCTACAGGATGTTGATAAATGGTCTTTTGACGTATTTGCCCTAAATGAAGCAAGTGGAGAGCACAGTCTGAAATTTATGATGTATGAGCTGTTTACCCGATACGACCTTCTGAGCCGTTTCAAGGTCAGAAACTAGCCACAAATAAAAATATGTGTGCAAAAATACCTATGTCAAGTTTAAAATACAAGGAAGCCAGGATATGTTTAAATGATTTTTTTTATTGTACAGTGCAGTGCAGAATTTCAAAGAATATGGCAAATTGTACATTGCAATATACTAATAGTTCTACCAAATGGAACTTCATCCAAAGCATGCAGATTTTCTGAAATCCAATAAATGGAAAGCTGTGTAGACCTATGTCAAGGCAGTTGGAGATGGGATTTTGCTCGTGAGCAGCTAGATTCTGTAAGCATTAAACCAACAGATTATGTATACAGCCTATTTACTCAGCAGTGCTGAATCAGTGTCCCAGCTTCATGGAACAAAGATTCCTAATAAGGCAGAAGAGTGTAGTTAGTCCTAGGAACTTTTTTGGTGGTCTAGACCATAGTATGTTGCCCACAAGTGTGCAGGGGTTTCAGCCGAACCACCTTCTCCTAACCAGCTTGGGGGTTATATAATGAGAAGGCTGCTTTTCCATGTGATTTCATGGTGTTGCAATACAATATGGAGTACTTACAACCAGCTTTGAAAGGCTGAGATAAAAATTGGATGGAAATGCCGCATTTATCATTATAATAGTACTGAATGAAAGTTTCATTGTAGTTTCAAAATCTCTCCAATGGAAAACTCCATGCTCCTTTTGAAGAGCCTGCCTCATCCTGAACTTGGCTTGAATATTTTAATTTTAACTGATAACCCAGGCTTGCTTTTCTCATCAAGTTTCTCCCTTCAGGCTCTGGGTGCTTGAAGTCAGAAACACACCAGGGCTACTGTTAAAACCAGTCAAAAGGTACACAATGTTACTGGCTCAGTGGGCTTAAGACAATTCTTAGTCCCACTGTTTACTTTGTAGGGCTTCTACATAAACAAAAAATCTTAAGGAAAATGTTGTTTCATTATATAGGAAAATAAATGGGACTAGGTAGTACCTGTGCTTCATACATTGTCTGGAGGAAGAGAAGGAAGGGAAGTCATACTATGAGATTCAAGGGAAACATGTCTCAGGCAAGGTAAAACTGGAGAAGAAAAAGAGAAGATGCTATTGTTAGACTCCTATCTGTCATGCCTTTATTATATGAGCAATCATATGCATTCCTGGTACAGACAGACAGAGATAGCTTGAAAACTGGTTGATAGCTCTGAAGTCTCTTGTACACTAACCACATGCTGTGCAAGGTGTACGTAGAAGGATATAACATCTACACGAATGGGGTGAAAACTCCCTGATGCATGTAAGATATTAGATCTTTACATTTTATTTGCTCTTTTTTTTTTGTTTGTCAACTAAATTCTGTGATACATTTATTGCATGATTAACTTTGCAACTGTTGCAGGAAAAAACCCATGTATTTTAATTTTTGCTTCCCCCCAGATCCCTGTTCCAAATCTTATTTCGTTTGCTGAAGCTCTTGAAGTTGGTTACAGCAAATACAAAAATCCATATCACAATTTGATCCATGCAGCTGATGTTACTCAAACTGTGCATTACATAATGATTCACACTGGTATCATGGTAAGAAATACTGCAAAGTTCGATTTAATTCTTTTCTCAGACTCTGCTGTTTTGGATAACTGTGTATGTGTGTCTTTTCTTAAGGAAAAAGCTCACTTGAAAATTGTGAAAAAAGAGATTCCAAACTACCCTTTAGGCTGTGAACTTTATATCATTTTAGCAGTTCTTTCAGGCTGGAGCTCTCCTGATGCAGAGTCAAAAAGGGGAAAAAAGTCCTCCTTAAATCCTTTTTGCTTTTCATTGCCTGGGCTTGGGTACTATGTGTCATACTGAGAGATACATTTGCAGGAGTGGGCAGGTGAGAATTTTTTGCTTCCACATCAGAGCCTGGGAGGTGTGATGTGGCAAGGAAGCTTTCTTATATGCTGAGGTTCTGGCCATTGAAAGATGCACTGAATCAGTGCAGGCTTACTCAATACTCTGCAGCTGTTTTTTCTTTTAGTTTATGGACCTTATTTAGGACTGGTCTTGCATACTGTATGTGCCGGTAGTAGGCAAGAGTTTGCATTTGCCTTTCACTTTTGCAGTATCCCAGTATTTATTTGTATTTGTTTTGGGAACTCTAGAGAGTCTGTGCAAGCGTTTTTACTCTAAACACTTACCTTAGTTTTAATACCAGTAGTGGGAGTCTCCTTACTGTCAGCTTGCTAGACATTAGTAAATACTGACTGAAAGAAAACAGACATCTCTGTCAATGGCCTTTTGATGATTTGTGTTCACTACAAATGCACTTGTTTCCAAAAAAAAAGTGCGAAGTGATAGTGATTGATTTCTGTTTGCAGAGGCATGAAACAATTCCATAAGACTTTTGGAAAGGAAAATTTTAGAGCTGACTCTAAATGTTTGTTTTCCAGTATATACATAATAAATGACAGTCATTCACTTATGTTAAACCTTGCCTTTGGCTTCTGTGGAGGCAAGAACAAGTCCATAGGCATTGCAGGGTTTGATTCTACTGCTTGAAGGTAGTTTTTTGCTTCTATGGAACAAGTTTTTAAAGCTACATTTTAACACAAGTGCTATTTGCAGAGTGAAGCCTGGAGTCTTCACCAGCCAAGATTCCTTTTTGCATTGATATGTTTTCTTCAGAAAGAACTTCTATATCAGACTGAGGCAGAAGCTAGACAACTCTTGCTAAGATGATTCCAAACCAAAGTTGGTGTATGCGATGTTCACCTATCAAAATAATATTTTAATAAAATAAAAAGCTTGAAGAGATTAGGTCATGGTTCCCATCTGTCATGGTTTAACCCCATCCAGCAACCATGTACCACACAGCCGTTCACTCACCTGCTCCCCTCCCCAAGTGGGATGGGGAGAAGAGCCAGAGGAAAAGACAAGGAAGCTCATGGGTTGAGATAAGAACAATTTAATAATTGAAAATACATGAAATAAAATAATTATACTAATCATATCAAAAATCCTAATAATACTAATATTACTACTACTAATATGTAATGAAAATAATGAAAAAAAAAATATCAGGGAGCCCAAGAGCCAGAGCCCCAGAGGCAGACCAAGCCCGAGAGAGAGAGAGAAGGACCCTGGGCCTGCCCCCCAGCTTATATATTGAGCATGGTGGTTTATGGCATGAAATAGCCCTTTGGCCAGTTTGCATGCACTGTCCTGACTGTGTCCCGTCCTACCTTCTTGTAGAGAAGAAGCTGGGAACACAGGTGCAATATCAGAAACTGGAAATGTCCTTGACCTGATGTAAATATTCCTTAGCATCAACTAAAAGCATTAGTATGTTATCAGTATTCTTCTCAACACAACCAAAACATAGCTTCATACTAGCTACTGTGAGAAAAACTAACTCCATCCCACCTAAAGCCAGCACACTGTTCTACCATTGCCTTCTGCTGTAAGATCAACTGCAAGCGTTAAGTGATGTGAGACACGTCTTTGTTGCAAGTATAAACCTGGATCAGCAACTTAACAAGGAGGAAAATCACTTTGTTGTATTATACGTTGTAAATATCCCTTTGGCCTTTTGCAACTGTGCCCCTTCAAAAAAGACAGTAACATCCAGATTTTTCTTTGTGATGCCAGGACAAGGTTCCGACTTCTAGAGCTAGCCTAGTCAATTTGGGATGTTTAACTATTGATGAAACAACTTGGCAACACACTTCGTACATCTCTGAGCACTGCATGAAGGAACTTGTTTTGTGTTTGTATATTTGCTATTCCAGCAAGTGCATACGAGAATGAGAAAGAGAAAGACCTCTTCTGCTGGTGCACAACTCAAGTTTTACAATTTTAGCATCTTAGCCTTGTAACTGCATTTTGGTGTGATTTGGACAATTATTTTCAGAAAACCTTAGACTTTATTCCTATTACTTTGCTGTTAAGCCTAGGTGCTACAAAATATTCCACTAAAATTAGGCCAGGTTTTAAATACATTTGAATTGCTGAATTATGATATCAGAAAGTTCTTGGAAAGATATATAAGTAGGACAACACTTTGTCAAGAGTGCCTTCAAACAGATGTAGCTTGCCAGGCAGAAGGAACATTTATAGAAATCAGTGTTTGAAAGATGGCCTAGTGATTCTGCAGCTTGCAAAGTATTTCTGTCCCAAATGTCATTTACAGTTTGGGAACGCATCAGTATCATGCAAACGTTCTATTTAACTTGCTGGGTTTTTCTCCTGCTGTCTGGTTGACGCTATAGAACCCTACTCAAAAACAATTTGAAGTTTGCTTTTCAAGTTGATAGTTTTCAGAGTATGTCTGTTGTAATGCCTCTTTTAATTCTGCTGTATCTTCGAACAAATTCCTGTGTGGTTTTTGCAGATTGCCATGCAATTTGAAATTCTTGTGCTTTCATTGTATCTTAAGGAATTGATACTGACTCCTAGATCTTGCAAGGAATTTCTGTCTTCCTTGTTCACTTCTGAAAGACATACTGAAGCAAATGCTTCAAAAAGCTGGGTTTTAGAAAATACTTTTCAGGATTCCTCTTGTTGAGGTCATACATCTTGTATCTCTTATAGGCACCTGGAAAACAGCCATATTTCGGAATTTGCCAGAATAATTGGCTGGTCAGAGTTTATGCTTCTCCACAAGCCTTTAGAGAGATTCCAGTGAAGTATAGCACATATTCAGAGTCACATTTAAAGAAATAAAATTATCATTGTGTTTTCCAAAAGTTGCTGTCTATCTTAAGAAATGAGATCCAGCCATCTCAGATCAATGTGTTATAAAGTTAGATATCACAGATGGCACACAATATATTAACCTTCCCAAGAGATTAAATCCCAGATGATACGACTGAAATATATAACTCAATCTTGCATTTGTAAAGTCTTCTTTATAAAGATGTAAGAATCCAAGTCCCAGGGAATATATCTTGTAGAGAACTTTTGAGTCATCGATCATCTTCCCACCATCCCTTCTCCCACGTACCTGTATTGCTCAAACTAAAGGAAAAAATGCCTTTACTGTCAATAAGTGCATTGAGAGACTCCCTTTTGTATTAATTTTAAAATCCATCATTGTTCAAATAGTTTGCACCAGAGCTCATGGAAAGTTGAAATGTATCTATTTACTTATAAGCAATTTATAATTATGGAAAACATCTCTCAATAGTAAGAGATCTTTTCCACTAGATGTTACACCTGCATGACGCAGTATCTTCCAGGAGGGAAGCAGGTTCCAGCTCTTTGCAGTCTTGCAGACCTCCAGATAACTGCTTTTCCCTCTCCCTCTGAGAAGAGCATTTGTTGAGTGTTTAAGAGCTTTCTTCTGCTTCCTTAGAAATCCCTTAGCTAAAGTAGCTCTCTGATTTTCTGATTTGAATACTAATCTGAATTTTGACTGTTCAGCTACACTCTCTAGAATCCTTGCTCTCTCCTAGTACTGCATGAAGGTTTTGTGTAGCCCATACATACTGTTTTTAAGTAATGCTCTTCTACTTATAAATGCGTGGTCTAGACACTATTTTGGTTACTAAAAAAGCTGATTTTTGAAAAGGCATCTTGAAGGAAAAGTTTATGTTTAGCTTTAGTTACTAATAATTTCTGTGTTTCTATTCCATTTGGTATGTTGAAAACATTGTGAAAGCCAGTACCAGTCATGGCCTGGTTTCTTGTGACACATGATACCATGAAGGTCATAATTTCTATTTTTAGAACTGCTTACAGTACATTCTCATTCCTCTGTTGTGACCTTTTAAAATCTATACTGCTTCACGAACAGCCAGTACTTGTTCCTCAGCAGTCTTATTTTGTCACTGAATGACCTATTTCATTATTCTCACATTGCTTATGAATCTTGACTGTTTCCTTTCTTCTTCTTTGAAAGAAGTACCACTATTGGCGGTTTATACTACTTCTGGCAGCTTATACATTGTGTATTCATTCATATACATGTATGTGCATGTATGGGTGCATAAGCATGAGATCATTCTTTGATCCTTTAGTACAGAAGCTTACTTCTACACTAACAAAATCTGAAGTACGTGTGGAAATGCTTGACTGGCATTTGACTTAATCACTCCTATGACTGCGGGGGTTAATTATCGTATGATTTTTCTGCCCCCATTTTTAGCTGGAGTAAATTTTCTCCTCTAGGATGATTTATCATTCAAGAAATAGAACTTGAAAGATAAAATAACAGAGGTTATTTTGCAAACCAAGCAATACAGAACCGCCTCAGCAAGAAGTATAAAAGGGCACAAAACTCTAGGGTCTGCGTTATTTTGTATACATGACCTGCATTACCTTTTGTACTGTGTAACTGTGTACTAGCCTTATGCGCTTATTTTTTGCGTTAGTAAAAAGTAAGATAAAACGTAGAACAGAAAAATCTCCCATAGACCTATTTTAGTGCTGTGTACACTGGTAAAATACAGTTAATGCTGATGTTTTAAGTAGAATTTATTATGAACTGTATATATTGTTCTCTAAAAGACAAATTGTAACTTTAACTCTGTATCAAGCTTTTAGATGAATATACCATAATTTGGCAAGTGCCATGTATGGGCTAGCAGATTAGATGCTTCCTACTCAAAAAGTATACCATGTAACTATCTTAGGAACTTCTTATATTTTTGGCTGCCAATATATACTTTTCTAGTGACCATAAGGACATTAACTTGGTCTTCGAGAAATCATAATAAGTACAAAGAGTTATTTTACTGTGAAGCACTGAAGTGTTATGGATATATAATTACCTGGAATATGACGGTAAAGTTTACTTAAGTTGAAGGTAATGCAAAACATTTCCAGTACTGTAGTGTTTAATCTGAACTAGGCTATTACAGAAAATATGACTGAGATTTGTTTTTCCTTTACCAGCACTGGCTCACAGAACTGGAAATTTTAGCAATGATCTTTGCAGCTGCCGTCCATGATTATGAACATACTGGGACCACAAACAATTTTCATATTCAGACAAGGTAAGCGAAGTGGTCTCTTAAGTGTCATATCTGGAGTTTGCTGTTCGTTGGTCTCAACTGTTTCATGCCTCCTACGAATACAGACAGGAAATAGCCAGGTCACTGCTGATTTCATATATTGCTTTCTTGGTCTCTGTACAGTTAATGGGACTGCTCACATGACAAAGGCAGTGTGGAAGAGTAGGGAGTTAACACCATAGTGGTTGAAATAATTGTATTTTGGAGCTGATGTGTCGGGAGAGATTTCAAAAAGATGCAGAACATGGACTTGAAAGTCCCTCACCCCTCTTTGCTTGCTTAAATTCTGGTACTTTTGACTGAATAATTTCTTCCCCAGTGTCCCCAGAAAAATACCACTTCACTTTCAGCAATGTGTCTGCACTTACTTCAGGTGCTACATTTTGTTTCAAGTTATGTATTAAAATTACAGAGTCCTAGTACAGAGGGATAAACCTTCAACTAAAGCTTTAGAAATCCTTACCAAGAGTCCTCTCCTAGCATGTTTTGGCAGCATCTGCAGTAGTTAAAAAAAGAAATCTGGAAAGAAATGCAGCTTGGAAGTCAGGCTCACTGTATTCTCATGCGGGCACAGCGTGTCGTCCTAGCCTCTGGTCCAGAACAACAGCATATACCTCTCTTCCTTAGAATATTTTCAGGCATCAAAGGAAAACACTGAGCAATCCATGGGTGATAAATGGTACTCCAGATACTTAGCCTAGTACAAAGCATCTTATTGTTCTGTCACACTAGACTATACTTCAGTTTTAGTAGCCTCAGTTGACAAGACTACTTACCTACTCTTGAAAAAAAATTTTCAGGAAGCCCTGGCATATTCTAACAAAACAACTCTGTGTTAGATATACTGCTGCTTTGAGCAGAAGCATGCTTCCACTCACCTATACAGATAAAGTGCCCAATGGTTACATTTAAATTAAATCCATAATTTATACCTAGAGACGTGCCCTTCAACAATGAACAAATTCTAGATCTGCAGCTGGAATAAGATGTCTTTTTTCCTTCGGCATAGTCTGGCTAAAAATAAACTTCAGATTGTTGTTACAAGTTTATATTACTTTTCTATTTTGGTCCTTAATATTTTGCTCTGAAGTATTTCAAAAGTGGAAAATTAATTAAGCTGTTAGCCTTTGAATTTTAGTTGGACATACTTGCAAACAGGTATTTGTTTTGTGATGGGCTCATTCTTCCCTCCTAGTGAAACTTGACCCTGATGTGACATCCCAGGGCAGTGATTCCAGGCCTTTTTTGCCTGAGCAAAGCTGATGAAATGGCTGTCATAGTCATAGTAAATCTTAGCACTGTTTAAAACTAGCCGTAAGTATGAGGGTTAAAGTGTACTTCGTAAACATATGTGATAGGCAAATCACAGATTTTGCCATGATTTAAGTAGGATTATGGTTGTAAACATGTTCTTTATTTAGGTAGGTTATGGTTTGTTCCCTCTAAATAAATTTGCCAATTGTATTTTAATCTTTAGATTCCTTAGTATCATACCATACACATGTATGGTTACACTGAATATATACTATTGCTCAACAGAACAAGAAGTTGAAGTTATCTTATTAATATCACAGTAAGCTGTGCTGCTAAGTCATCATACCTTTCTTGTAGAACAGACTTCTCAGTTGACCAAATTGAAATACTCACAGATAGTTTTATCAGAACAGAAGTGTAGCAAAGAGGGGAGACTTGCGTAGCAAGTCACATCAGGTCTTGGGGAAACAAATTGCCCAAGAACTAACGAAGTTTGAAGCTAAGTATGATAAACCCATACCGCATCAAAATTTGTGAAAATCTATATGTAACTTTGGTATTGTAGGTTAATCTTTATTAAGAGGGAAAAGATCCTGTTACGGTAACATTCTGGCTTTAGAAAGCTCTTCAGTGCAATCAAATTTCAACTTAGCATCTCTTCCATTCCTTTGTTATGAGGCTCAAGGTTTGGCTGTTTTTAGGACAAAAGGTGGCATTAATTTAAAACATATGAAATAGAAGTTTTAAAATATTTTATTATTTACAGCTTCTACTGATTATGAGTGACATGGGCCAAAGCACATGTCTGAGAACAAGGGTAGTAACTGCTTAATCCCCATGCTATGTGTGGAAACCCCTCTGTTAGTTAATGCATCGCATTTCAAATAGTTGTGTCACCAACGAGTACTTTTGAGTAGCCTAATCAGAGCATTTCTGTTGCTCTGTGATCCTGTCTGTAGTCAAGAAGATCAAAGAACACACAAACTTTTGTCATAGTTATATAAATAAAACATTACACATTTAAAAATATGGCTTTCCCACGAGCAGTATGTACAATGGTATAATGCTATTTTTTTCCATTTAGGATGGAAACTTTATCAGTATTTGATACAATAGGAACAAATAAACATAGATTGATACATATAGTTAATAGTTCTCATAGGGAACACACAGTCCTATCTTCCCCCGTGCTATCCTCGGGATGCTATTGCAAATTCTGCCTTTTTTTTTTAATACTAGGTCAGATGTTGCAATATTGTACAATGATCGTTCTGTTCTTGAAAATCATCATGTAAGTGCTGCTTATAGACTCATGCAAGAAGAAGAGATGAACATCCTGGCAAATTTAACAAAAGATGACTGGAGGTAAGACCTACTGTGACATTCAAACCTAATTCTGTTATTTAAAAATAGTAAAAAACACCAGGCTTTCCCTGTGGAGTCTATTTTAAGAGTTCAAATTTCAGGCAGAAACTTTGGCACTAGAAGGAGTAATGGATATTTAGAGCTTAGGGAAGGCTGCTGTGGTGTAAAGAAGTACTGTCTGGGAGACCCCATGTAGTTTTCCAAGTGAGGTTGTATATTTATGAGGCACAACATTGGGCTGTGTGGATAGTGTCTCAGGTGAGGTAGCTCTTCAGGAAGACCACAGTGCTGCCCCTCTTGGGCTAGCTAGCTACTCCGAAACACTTTAATATTGAAGTATTTTTAATTTTTTCTTTAATAAAACATGAGAGAGGAAGTATACACTTTTTCTTTCTCATAAAGGATTTCTTCTGAGAGAATACTCGTTTGGATTTAGTTATCGTAGAGTTTGTGTTGTACAGTTAGCTCTAGAGAAAGACATCTGGAATTGAATTGTAAACTTCAACAACAGTTGTCATGTACACTTAGATCTTCATTGCCAACATGGTAAGCCTTGCTCTGCTTGGGACTATTTTGGGCCTGATAGTTTTGGGGCTGATGGGTCTCGCTGCCCTTGTTTTTGCTTGTCCTAGGTGTTGAGTATGGAGAAAGTGATTGTGCCATTAGACAGCAATAAGAGGCAGATATTCTGTCTTTTAAAACCATCATTGTAGAGAGAGTAATTTTAAAATCTTCAGACTTGTTGCCTTGAGTATGTTTTTTTGAAGTGATGTTGTTTCATATTGTGTCCTACCAGAGAATGCTTCCAGGTAGAAAGATGCAGATCTTCAATTGAGTTTCAGGTCAGGACTGGATCAAGGAGAGCTTGAAGAGATTTATGTGCTTCCCCAGTCCTGGCTCCTTCATCACGGGAGACCACCATAAATGAGTATAGTTTGAGAATCCTTGCGGCAACATGCAGTTGCTCCAGCTGACAGAAATCTGGCTGCCAGCTAGTACAGTGCATACCAGTTGTTCCCTTTTGTTATGTCACTGAGGAAAAGAGTGATAGGATGGAAGCTCCTGTGACAGAAAGTATTTCCCAATAGAAAGAGGAGCCTATGGTTTCCAGGTGTGTGATGTTTATACATATTGCTTTGGTGGACTGCCACAAAATAAAGAGAGGAATATGATAAATTGTCTTCACATTTTTGAAGCACTCCCTTCTCTGCATAGATTGCTCGGTCTGGTCTTCCCACAGTTCCTTTTCTTTATATCATGGACCCTTTGCTCTGACTGCTGTTGTATGTCATTTCTCCGTGGTTTTTGAACCTGTGATAAACTACCACGTTCCTTCAGAAGTTGCTCAGTCACAGACTTGGTGTGTTTGCATTTGCTTTTCCATCTCCTCTCACTGTAACCCAATTCGGATTTCCTGGAGAATTTTATTTTAGTTTTACAAATTTTATTTGTATACAGTGGCTGCACAGATCCAGTCCACTATTATATGCAGCCATTTGGAAGTTGGTGGGATTTGGCAGCCAGGGAAAGAATGTAGAATTTATATTCTCCTGTTGGGGCTATTCAGCACAACTTAGAAGAGATGTATGAACTGACTAATAAGCTCAAGCAACTAAATGAGGACACTCAGTTCTGTGTTTTGTCACTTAACTAGGCAGTTACAGTCTGTACTTTCAAACAGATAGGTAACTTCCAAAGTGCTTCTCTGAGAACCTGCACAACCTGTTGAAGGCTGATACTTAGAGGGTCAGTCATGGAAATTATGATTTTCTGGTATTTGTTTCTAATATCCAAAAATACCTGTTACCTTGTCATCAGATAAAGTTGTTCATTGGTGCAATGACAAATCTGTTAGCCACCTAAAAGAGGCTCTTCAATTTTCTAATGATTACTAGAGTGAACTTCTTGGATCTGTACTGAAATTCATGGTGTTTGACTAACAGTTTCGAAGTTTGCACTGAACCAAATTGGTAGTAAATTGAAATTATAATTCGTTCAACTTTTTAATGTACTTCCTGCCAGTGATTAATTTCTTGAATACTGTCAGATCTGTTTTCTGGAGTTGCAGCAATTACATTTTTGTGAAGTTTAATACCCCTGCCTATTTAAACTGTAGTTCTGCTAATTATTTCTGCAAGATGAAGCAAAATGACTGAGAATGACTTTATAGTATTAAATTTTCTTTTCTGCATGTTAACATTAAAAAGATAAATGCACTAATAAACTGTCAGCTTCAATTAAGTTTAAAACATAGGGTTTGGGTCTGAGCAACTGCCAACATCCTGATGAGGATGGCCTTTGTGGATAGCACATGTGACATTCATAGTAATTTCTCACTCTTTTGTCAACCCTGAAAATATATTGCAGTCTTCCACATTGTCTTGTTTCTCTCACTTGGTGCCCCTAAATAACTGAGGAGGGATCCATTTTTGTCCACCTTTCTTCTTTGATCTACCAGGCTTCTGGTGTTCTGGCACCTCATGTATTACATCAACAGTTGTAGGTGGTATTAATGTCTCAAACTATTCCACTCATAAGGCATACAATGATACACTGCCTGATTATTTAAAAAGGACTAACAAAACAATATGCATTATATATAATGCATAATAAGCAGCTTTTCTTTCACAAATTCCCCTGGGAGTCTTCTGTCTGAATGTGCTGGTATTTTCCATGTCTTTTCCTCCAATTCTCCTCCTCCACTGGGGAAGGGGGGAGGTGAGTGACTGGCTGTGTGATACTTGATTGTGGGCTGGGATTAAACCCCAGCACTGAGGAAAGAAGGATTGCTATAACTTCCAAGACGAACCTTATGTCTTCGGTTCCCAACTTGCTTTTGCTCATCTTATCCTGTTTCACTTTTCATTAGTTTCCAGCTGACTAAATGTCTTTTTCATGGACAGATCCTGATAGAACTGATTTCTGTTCATTAGTTAACAACTTTTCCAATCAATTAATGTGCCACTCCTTGTCTCCTGCTTATTACAGCATTATTCATGGCATTTTTTCACATCATCTTGTATCTGGTTTTTTTTAGTATCCTATATGTAGGACATATGGATATAGGAGGGTTAAGAAACTGTGACAGCACAGGACATGACAGTTTACTAAAGAAAAATGGAAATTGTATACTCAAACTCAGTAATCTTTCAGTTGTGGGCCCCAAAAAACTGCTATGCACTTTATGTGAATACTTCTATCATTTCATAAAATCACAGAATAGTTTGGGTTGGAAGGTACCTTTAAAGGCCGTCTAGTCAAGCCCCCTGCAGTGAGCAGGAACGTCATCAACTACATCAGGTTACTGTTGAACCTTACCCTGAATGTTTCCAGGGATAGGGCATCTACCACCTCCCTGGGCAACCTGTGCCAGTGTTTCACTACCCTCATCGTAAAAAATCTTTTCCTGGCAACTGCATCAGCCAATTCCCTCGGGACTCTGAGATGCATCTCATCAGGTCCCATAGACTTAAGCAGGTTCAAGTTCCTCAGGTGGTCTCAACCCTATCTTCCCTTACAAGAGGACCAACTTTGACCCTCCAGTCTCCATTTTGGGGTCCATCCACTTGAGAGGTGTGGGAAGAGGGATTGCCAGTGAAGACTGAGGCAAAGGAGTTGTGGAGTACCTCGGCCTTCTGCTCATCCATTGTTACCAGTGTGCCAGTCTTGCTCATTGGGAGGATATGCTTTCTTTAACTTTCCCATCACAGAACTGAAGACAACACCACCTACGTATCATTTTGCCATGGTAGTATGAGCAATGCTAACTGTATTACCCCAATGCCTGTAGCTGTGGGCTGCTTAATGAGGTGGGCAGAGATTTCTGTCCAGGAGTTACCTATGAGGTCTCCCTCAGTATGGAAGTTAAGGTGGTCTTTTTTCCCTGTGAAACAATTTGGGAAAGGTTTAAGTCCAAGATTAATTTTCTTTGCAATGGTAGTAACTGACCATTTGTAGCTCTAGTAGAGCTTTATTTAATATTTCCCTGTCAGTTCTCACTTTTCCATCCCTCTGTTAATGATGGATGGGGGCACGGGCAGGAGACAACTGCAGACTCTAGATGGAGGGTCTCTCCTTTGCTGTTAAGCAGCTTTTTAGTGGCCTGAGATCTTCAGAAGTGGGTGAACCAGACCATGCTATGTTGTTTGATCCTTATTCAGCTGATGAAGGTAAGAATTAGGGTTTGTCTGCTGCCATGACAGTGTGAGTAAACTGGAAGGAGAGTTTTTCTTCAATGTGTGTCTTGTGTAGGAGGGGTGAACTTATTTCTGATTACTAGTTCAGATATGGAAAGTTCTAGGAAAATCTCCCTTAGAAAGGGGAAGTGATATTTAGTTCAGTCTTACCAACAACAGGGTTTAATGATGTAGAACCTTCAGTTTTCATGCAGTGTTAGTTGTTCTTTTTTTTTTTTTTCCAATGGGTTTGGCTGTGTTTGAAGGGTACAGTTTCAAAGCAGTGTGGAGGAGGAACAGTTGGGATGCAAATTAATTAGTATCTTATTATGAGGTCAGATAAGGTAAGGCATTTTCTAAACACAAGTTGCTATGGCTGCATATTATGGAGTAGAAGTGAGAGGATTGAGTCTTTATCCAGTTACATCAAAGCAAATCAGGAATAAATAACAAAAATCGAGGAGCATCATCTTAAATATGCAATTAATTTGGCTCAAAAACCATGTTGATAGTTTTTATAACAAACTGTTCTCACAGCTCTAAAGAAAAATCTGATTTACCTCTTTAAAACAGTCCTTCCTTTGAAAAAAATGTATTGTTAAGTAAATCAAAGATTTGAACACAATATGAAAGACCAAGTGAGAAAGACTAAAGCAGGATCCTACTGTTCTATTGATACTTGGACATTCTTAAGATTGGGGGTGTGCTCATGAAGATAGATGCTACATAATCGAAGATTTAATGTGGCGAATTGTCCCCGATACACATAAAAGCAACGCTTGCACATAAATCCTCCATTTAAAAAGCATGTAAATAAAGACCCACTGGACTCCTACATGGTCTAGATACAATTCTTCTGCATCAAGGAAACATACATTTTCAAATCAGTAATTATTGCTGATAAAATTACTGTCATATACAATGAGAATTAATACACTTTCTTACGTGGTTCATGTTTTCCTGTTTTCTTAGTAATTTAATAGAGACCTGATGGTCAAGCCAACATCTCTGACAATAATACCAAGATCTAGATAAATTATAAATCCTGAACGTGCTCTGATTCATGAAATAGGCATGAAGGTTTTTTTTGAGATGAAGGGTAGTTTGTCATAATGTTCATATGTTGGTATAATGTTTATAGTCTTTCAGATATAACATCTCTTGCTCTTCTGAGTGTTTCCACAGCCTTCTTCCTAGGTTTAGTGTTGTAACTGCTCTGCACTAATATGAGGGCGGTAATAAAAGACACAAATATGTCCTGGGTGGTAAGGCCAGGAATCAACTGGTTTTTTGAATACTCTGCTTATAATGGTTGTAAGAACTGCTTTTGATTTTAGTTTGTACATTAGAAAGAGGAATTACTAAACAGTGTGACTCTGAAATAATGACTGCAGAGTGCATTTTCTAAAGTTCATTGCTTTCACAGGATCCCTTTAGGACACAATGTTCAAGTTGTTAATAATTTATTTAAATGCTTTTAAAAACATAATAAAGCCCATGATGTCATTTAGAAAGTTATAAATTAACAAGTGCTGCTTAAACAAATACACCATACATAGAATAAATTAATTGTAATCAGTCACTTTGCTTTTAATTATTCTTAGGGAGTTGCGTAGCTTGGTCATTGAGATGGTCTTGTCTACGGACATGTCGGGTCATTTTCAACAAATTAAAACGATGCGACACACGCTACAGCAGACAGAAGGGTAGGTTATTTTCCATTCTCTTCATTATCTGTAGTCTTTCAATGAGCTCATGTAGAAGAAAAGAATTTAAATAGTTGCTTTTGTTTTGAGATAATTGGAGCATGTCCTTGAATTGACAGGGTAGACAAAGCCAAAGCCATGTCTTTGATTCTACATGCAGCAGACATAAGCCATCCAGCAAAATCCTGGGAACTGCACTACCGGTGGACCATGGCCCTGATGGAAGAATTTTTTCGACAGGTGCCATTTTAAAAATCTTTTCATAAACATAGTTCAAGAAGCAATGGTTACACAATTAAATCTTTTCATAAGTCTACCAGCAAGGATGCTGTTAGTTGTGATTGACAAGCAGAGTCGGTAGTATATATTCCTTATTCTTCATGCATACCACTGACATTAATTCAACTTTTATGTGCCTGAATAAAACGAAATTGTTATAGCTATATATCTATTTCAGCTGATACCAGGATTCTGAGTGTTGTAGCATTTTTTTTCTTTCCATAATAATATAACTTGTCAAGCTGTTTTCATTCTGTAGACAGAGATTTATATATGCTTTGAGTTAAAAAGAAGCTCCAGCAGGGTAGGATGAGGGACTTGAAAATAGGAAGAATTCATGTTCAGCAAAGAAGGCAAAAAGTTGTCTCCATTTTACATTTCAGAAAGCCCTCCTATTTCTTTTCCTTGCCAGTGCTTGTCATGCATATACCACATAGATCTGAAGGTTTTACTTTCATAACAGCCTGGTCCAAAGCCAGAGGTTAGACTGTATCATCCTGTTAACACTATGGCCATATATGCTAAAAGAAAAGTGAAGACACACTTTTGTGCAAGCCTTTTCATTTCACAGGGAAAGCCCAGTAGGTGTTGGTGTCACTGTTGCCATTTTTTTACTCACCTCAGCAGGGAAAAAAAAACATTTCTACAAAGAAGGAATACTCTCCTTGTAATGAATATTTGTGACCATGCACGTTTTTAACATAACAGTTACTGAAGTACAACTGATAACTAAAATCCAGTTAAGGTATTACACAATTTCTACAGTTATACACAGGTTTTAAAAATGGTTAATACAGATAATGGAACAGTGTATGTCTTGCTCATCTTTATTGCCATTATTTTGCTGTATGCTGAAATTTTCAGATCAGTTGTGTCACTCTGGAAAAAGGGGCCAGAGATTAAAAATGTCAGTATGTTAAACCATGAGATTGATAGGCACATCTGCCCAAGAAAGTTCTTCCTCAGTGCCCAGAGTTTCTTTATACAAATTCATGGTAGGGAGCTCAAGGACATCCTTGACTCTGGGCTTTGGACTGGGGAGACAGATTGGAGAGCTGGTGCCTTAATCTAAATAATGAATGGACTATGTTTGGTGGAAATACTGAGCAGAGTCATTAATTTGTGTCTGCTTGTGTAAATGGAAATGATGAGGAAATGAACTTGAAAGGAAAAGGAGGAGCAGATTACCCCAGATATATATTACTTGAAAAGGTCAGAAATGACCAACTGTAAAAACATTTTAGACATAGAGAGGCAGACTAGACAGAACCCATGGGACGCTGAGGCAATGTGTGCAGAGTGGATGTAACATTAGCAATAAACAGTACCACACTGGTTGTTGAGTGCATAGGATCAGCTAATGTTTTAGTTATTCCTTCATCCTTTCATTAGAAAGAGTAACTGGATCCCAAATAAGCTGTTGAAACACTTGAGAAGGCATTTAACAAGAGAATCAAATCACCATGTTTGTATTTCTGCAACTCAGCATTATAGAATGTGAAAGTTTCTCAGGCTGTAGAAGAGTGTGCAAGGAACTGAATCCCTCTTTATATGTACTACCAAAAACAGCATGTGTGAAGCAATTCCAACACATTTAAAAGTACAATGAAGTAACTGTACCTATATAAATGCCCTGAGCAGGGCAGATGCAGTAGGTCTCCTCCTTCCTAGATGCACTGGCTTGGTATGGGCGTGTGTGGTGGAAATCTCTGGGATTTCCAAACCTATGTCAGTCAAGATGAAGTCTAAATGCACACAAAACACACTAATTCCTCCTCCTCTTTTCTTTAAAAATAGTGATTCAACTATTTCTACTGCTTTACAGGAAAAAGCAGCAGAGCCTCAAACTAGTGATGCAAAAACAATGCTTTAACAGGAAACTTTCAAAGTAGTGAACACTATAAAAAAATGAACATTCACCTAGACAAAAAACTTGAACTGTAGCTAACGGTTAAAATATGTGCCAGCGTTAACCTCAGGGAAAAAGCCAAACAGCACTTTAAGTTTAAAAGCAACAACTACAGAAAGTGTATTATAATGCCAAGGAAAATCTCAGATAGAAGTTTAAAATAGAAATACACCCACCCAACTCAAAACCTTAAAAATAAAGAAATACATAGTTCAAGTCACTCAAAGAAGTATCACAGCTCCTATAGCATTCTGCTCTCAGTCTGAATAGATCCAAAGGGACAAAAAAAAAACTGTCCACTGAGTTCAGCACCTGGGCAAATAATTCTTTTACTATTTTGATTTTTGTCTTGATTTTAAATCTAATGAAATTAGGGTTAGGTTATTCAATTTAAATATCAGTGCTGCGTCCATTATTACAATTTACAGTAAACTTACACTTAGGTGACATTTAATTATTAATTATGTATTATATTAATTGAAAAGTAATTAATAACTGGGGAAGGACCTACTTGAAAACATTAAAAAAAGCAAACTGATTGTTTGCTAGTGTGGGCTTTTCTCTTTTTTAATTCCTAGTTAAGGGAAGATTACAAAATTAATATTGCTTTAGAAAACCTGTATTCAACAATGGCTGAAATTGTTAGAGCTACCCCAGTTTGTGTTGTATCACAATCTGGCTCCTGCATTTACATGGAGATACCACTAGCACTGCTTCCAGTAGAAAGTGTTCATGTGTTGTTCTACACTCTGAAATGAAATTATGAACACTTCGGCGCAGAATTTAAAGGCCACAGTGACAAACTCTCCACTTCCACGTGAAACGCAATCTGTGAGCTAACTCTGTTCCTGTGGCTGAAGTGGTTTTATTGGTATTACATTTCTAAACTTTTCCCAAATCTAGTTCGATGATACATGATAAAAAACTAAGGAAGGAAGGATACTACCCCTTCATCCATCAGCTTCTGATGAGATCTTTAGGAAAATGTTCATGTACTGCTCCCCACTGAATGCTCGTGAAACAGCACTCTCCATGACTGATATAATATGTAGAGCCATTTTACTTGAAAGACTTAAGTTTTCCTGTATAATGTCAGTGCATCATGTTGTCCAGCAACACAAACAATAGCTGCTCTTGAAAGATGTCTCCTCAGGGTTTTTTGTGCCACTAGACTTTCATTTTGAGCTTTTGCAAGTCAGTTGGTCTACCGTGATGAAAATGGAGATAACACCTTTGTTTAAGACTGTTACGACAAAAAGCTTCTTTTAATGTGTTAGGTGTTGAAATATTTTCAGAACTAGGTTGTGCAAATCATCTTTGTAACTAAATTGATCTTGTCCTTTTTATGGCTTCAGCAGCAGAGACATGCCTGCTAGTGAGAATGAGTTCAAGTCAGATCCTGCCCTTGATCTGTGTAAATCCATTGTAGAAATTTCACATGTTGGATAAACCAGTGTAATAGAACGAAACACTCAGTGTTCAACATACTTTTACAAACATGTCTACATATCTCCAATCCCACTACATCTGGGATCAGCAGGACTAAACTGAATATTGAAAAACTTCCTATGTTAAATCTCATTGGTAGATGGACTTGCTCTTGAGGAGAACTTGCTTGCAATAAGTTCCTTTACATAATAATTGTAAAATATAAGTTAGAATTTTGACTTTCACTTTTCCTGAACGTTTAAAGATAAATTACAAGACCTTATATTTTTGCCTGTGGCTTGTTTTTATTTAGGAATATAAGTGAAAATAATCTGTTGAATAAATACTAAGAATGTTCAGATTTCTTTGTCTCCGTCCCTCTATCAAATATGTGCCTATAATATTAAATCTTGTTGTTTGCAGGGAGACAAGGAGGCTGCTTTAGGTCTTCAGTTTTCCCCACTCTGTGACCGCAAGTCTACTTTGGTAGCTCAGTCCCAAATAGGTAACGACAGGTTGTGTTTTTCTTTTTCTTGTATGTGTAGGAGCATGTAAATTCGTACGGACATTTCTTATACCCATCTTGAATTTTAAATGGTCCAAATGCCATCATATAGAAGGTATCTGTTTGCACCTATCTATTCACCAAGCTCATTTGCTCTTGCAGTAAAAATGTGCTCATCTCAAAAGAACATGAAGTGATTTCAGCATACATGATGCTAAGGGGGGGTAGAAGGATTAACCAAATTATTGGACATGAGCCAAACTTTTACTGTATATGCTTTAGAGTTTGGTGGATCGTGTCCTCAGACACATTGATTCTTGGTGAAGAACTCACAGGTCTGTCTCAACTGCAATCTAAAAGTCTGGTACTGTTCTGTAGATGCATCTCAAAGATAATTCATACATCAGATCCCTGAACTGCAATTGAGACTATCAGTGTGGCAGGATCAAGCCTCCTTGGGTTGACAAAGACCACTGTATTCTTTTCCTGTCAATCCTAATTGCATTTTGGTCAACCATGGCCAAACTTCAGGTTCCTGTTTTCAGAAATGCGGGTTTTGGCGCTCTCTATCCCAGTTTCCATCAGCAAAAATAAGGAAATAAAAACGGGTAAAGATCACTGGTGCTAGTTACAAGGAGATACCCTAGAAGCATACTGAGTGAAGCAGCATGTCCTACCAAAAGCTGTACCTTTTATGTGAGTGAACGCAGTGCTTAGAGAGATATTCTATAGATGAGAGTGTCTTATCCTTGAACTGAAGTATGCCATCCTGTCTGATCTTGTCTCTCAAAATATCCTTTATACCATTCCACTGGGACTTGAAAAGCATTGTGCTTGAGCATCATACCTTACTGCAGGAGGGAAGCTGGATCCTAGACTGAAGCACTGTTGCTCACCTTTGTGCTGTGTTGCATGGTTAGAGTATGAAGACATCTGGAAGTCCATTGCTAGCTCATGTTTTAGCTTTTTTTTTTTTTTTTACTTCTGTTAAGTGCTTTGCAGAGAATAATGCTTCATTTTCTCACTATGTCATTCCATACCTTGATGAGCACTTTAAAATGTAAAAGACATTGTTCAGAGCTGACATCTCAGAACTGTGGGATGAATGCTGTCTCCTAAGGATATTACTTGTTCTCTTCACTGGTTTGACAGAACACTCCTACACACTGTGAAATAACACTTTACCTCCACAGAATAATAAACAGCAGTTTGAAATATTAACTCCTTGGCAAGAAGCTCCAAATGGTAAAAGAGA